AGTGGAGTAATTGTTGGGATGCCACGGAGAAACCGGGGAAGCCCCCGGAGGAAAACTCCGTGATGCTTAGACCACGGCCTTGCCCAACACAAGTTATAAATTTGAGCACCACCGGGAATTGAACCCGGGACCCCAGGCTTACAAGGCTAGTGTTCTGACCGCTAGACCACCGTATATATATATATAAAAATGCGTGGGTTTTGCACTGGAGCATATAGCGCTGATATAACTTTGTTGTCAGTTGAAGGTAATTTCAGAGTAAAAATGAATGTTTCCACTCATCATTATACACATTATGGCTGCTGTATAGTATGTGTATATTTATTCTTTCACAAAAATTAATGACAAAATTCCATTTAAATTTATTGGAACACAATGTATAAGATACATTTCCTCCCAACCCAATATATTTGGTGGAGCAGTGATAAATATTTTCTTATTATGAAGTCATTTAAATTCAGCAGAATTGTGGAGACCATGCCAAACTAAATCTATCAGATTTACTCTCTTGTCTGGCATAATATCCTGATTATACTGGCTTCCAAACTGGTGCATGTTCTTGTACATTTCTGTCACAGTTTAAAAACCTGCATCCTTTTGGAAGGTGGTTCTGCCTCCATCAGCACGCAACTCTGTACAACCTATTCATTTGAGTCCATTGGAAGACGCTAATCTCAATTGCCTGGGAGCAGAGCCAGCCTCTGAAACATTGTATATTTTTAGACTAATACAAAAAGGAAAAGTCCAGAAATATGCATTGATATAAATAAATGCTTTTGTCAGAAAACTTTGGATAAATCATACTGGCTTTTAGTTATTGTCCCATAGAACGATGATAATCTGAAGTAGAAAGCCCTTTTCTCATGTGAGAAAGTTCACCTTTTGTAGTTGAAGATGTTAATAAAATACTACTCAATGACAGCGACAAGTTATTGGATATGCTGGAGGAAATGTGTGTAATGGAACTGAGACTTTGCTGAAAGGTTTGCCATGTGAAGTATGCGGACACTGCAGTGCATTGACATTTAAGGTGAAAGGGGACAAACTGTTCATAAATGATGGGTTAGGAAAGGGAGGGAAGGATGGGACCCCCGTGTGATGTTGGCAACCAAACCAAGAAGGGGGGCAGAGCACCTAGTAAGTAACAAAAAAACTTTTGGTCATGGCACGGATATTTCGGCTTGCCGTAAACAAGTTTGCCTACTTAGAGTATTGAAGAGTTAAGTGAAGATATCTGGAATATCACTTTTTACGTAAAATAATTTCTTAAATTTCAAAGTAATTGATATTTCAGTGAGAACCAAAGTTAAAATAAATTACGTTTAGCACTTTGTCATTAAATTAGTTTAGAATTTAGAATTAAAGTCATTTTCTAGAATGTTATTCACCAGAGTCTGTTTCTGTTTGTATTTTGTAATTTAAAGTTTCTTTTACTGTGGATACAAATCAAGCTCACCCCAGAATAAATTTTGTAAAAGACAGATGATATATTTAACTGTTCTGTGTGTGTTTGTTTTTCCAAGAAAGAGGTGGTACAAAAGTACAGTGAGGATTTGCATCTTTTTACTGCAGTACAGATGAAAGTGTGATGCTGAGTACCTTCCATGTCACACTGATATTTTGTTGTGACTCATTGGACTTCCTAATTTTCAGGTGTCTATGCTCCAAGCGATTGAGAGGTACATGAAACAAGCTATTGTGGATCGTAACTCGGGAGTGAGCAGCGCTGCTTTGGTTAGCAGCTTACACCTCACAAAGATTGCAGGTGATGTTGTGAAACGATGGGTAAATGAGGCACAGGAAGCTGTCAACTCTGACAGGTACATGTTTACTCTGGTTATCAGAGAATGTAAAAGTTAAATTTGTTTTGTGTGTGAACAAATGGCGTTTAACATTTTCTATACCAGCTTTAAGTCTCCTCCTGGCCCAGTTTAATTAATGTAAACACAGTTCAGCATGTATCGAATAATGTAAATGTGTGTAATTTACCAATACCGATTTTAAGTTGAATACTTAAATTGGAGACCTCTGATCTTAGAGCAGATTTTTTTTTTGAATATTATGCCTGCCAATTTATTTACATTTGCAGTAGTATATGCGTTCTTTCTGTGCAGTGTGATGGTCCAGTACCATGCTCTGGGTGTCCTGTACCACATTCGCAAGTCCGATCGCTTAGCTGTTAACAAATTGGTTGCCAAATTAACTCGTATGTCTTTAAAATCTCCATATGCAGTCTGTATGTTGGTGAGTATAAAAAAATCATAAATTTTTATTTATATTTTGATAATGTCTATATGAGAATGATCCTATAGAATATTACATGTATGTCACTTTATAATATGGTAATTATGTGTATGAATGGTCGAGAATAAAATGAAATAAACATTTGTAATAATACGGATCACTGCTGTTCTTTCATGTACTTCAAACCACAAATTTTATACAATAAAATCTTTTCTTATTCTGCTGAGGATAATTTCAATTACAGCTTGAAATGCGAAGGGTCCTCGATTAACTTTAACACATGGCATACGGCATTTTTGTTGCGGCAGTACATGGGAAGTGTCACAGGGTGTACAGAAAGTTGGTAGACAAGTTAGAGATCAGGGTTACGAAGACTGAGCCAGGATGCATGGCTTCAGATATTTCTGAAAGAATAGTTTTATTATATGCAGAGAAGACAAAAGTAAAGGCGTCGGCTACGGCGCCTTAGGAGACCGTGGTGTATAATTTGTGTGCATTCTGGTATATTTTGTGTTTCTGATTGTGGCCGTCTTTTTAAAGAAGTCTGATTTCTATTTTAACTTTTATGTTATGTTGTTGACAGATTCGAATTGCTTACAAGTTGCTTGAGGAGGAAGATTCTTCAGGAGGTGCATCGTCATATTCTACACTGTTTGATTTCATAGAGTCATGTCTCCGTCATAAAAGTGAGATGGTGATCTATGAGGCTGCTCATGCTATTGTTAATCTGCGCCGTACAACGTCTGTGGAACTAGCCCCAGCCGTCAGTGTTCTGCAGTTGTTCTGCAGTAGCCCTAAACCAACTTTGAGGTTTGCTGCTGTCAGAACGTTGAATAAGGTAAGACTGTGCTAAGTGGTAGTCACTGTTCCTTGCATTCTGTGGAAAACAACCACTCTCTCGTTCACCTCGAACATGGATAAAATCAGTTTTTTTCTGCCTTATGTCGATTGTATATTTGTTACTCAAATATTCATTTAATCTTAATATGTTTGTTATCAGCAAATATTTTACCTTTATTTGTACTGTGGAGACTTTGTCATTTTACCTTTTCATTTTTCCTCGTGCATGTAAAGTAATTCACAAAATTCTAGCTACCCATCATTTCAGAAAAATTTGTCTTCCCATCTCATATCCAAAAATGTGAACGTTTAAACATGAAAAACTATAGTTTTACCTTTTGTTTTGTATGAGTGTGAAATGTGGTCTTTCACCTTAGCAGTAAATCATAGGCTGAGGGTGTTTGAGAGAAAGGTGCTGAGGCGAATATATGAACCTCATAAATGGGGGGGGGGGATAATATTAAAACATATCTTAACGAACTATAATATACAAAACTGTACTTTCCTCTGATACTGTAAGTGGGTTTGAAACATTATTAATCACATTAAGGGAAAATATTTGAGCCCAAGGGGAATGAAGTGACAGGAGGCTGGAGAAAACTGCATAACGAGGGGCTCCATAATCTTTGCTCTTCACCAGATATCATTAAGATGATCAAACAAAGGAGAGTGACGTGGGTATAACATGTTCCAGCATGGGGGAGATAAGAAATATGTATAAAATTTTGGCTGGAAGGGCTGAAGGGAACAGACCACCGCATGTTGTACTTCCAGAATCCCTGATTATCAGAAACAGAATCAAGTCATAGTTTGCAATGGTAGTAATATGGATTCTTTGTCATGGTAGCATTTTATGTGGTGGGAGCTTAGTTTTTCGAAGGTGTTTCATACCGCAGTAATAAGCTTTTTATGTTTGTTCTGTTTCGATTTCTCATACCACAGTGATTTCAGAGACGCTTACTGACAAACAGAATGAGTAGGTTGTTATTTATTTGCCTAATGAAATTAAAATTATGTTCTTTGAGGAGAAACACTCTTGCACAGAATTCTGTAGAGTATATTTGCTGTTCTCCCTTGCTGAAATTAGTTCTTGAGAGTGGTATCCGGTTTGTACATATGAATTGCTGTTAAAGTAAGAAATTATTAAACTTTTACGGTGGGTAACAGCGTTGTTTGTGTACACAGTTTCGCATAATTTGGATGCTTGTAACTTTTAGAGTTTCTGTGTGGGACATGGTGAACATTTCTAAAGTTGTTTTTTGGGTTCCCATTTGGAACAGAAGAGGATTTTAATTTTAATGAGTGTTTGATGTTGCAGGTTGCCATGTCTCACCCTGCAGCAGTAACAGCCTGCAATTTAGACCTGGAAAATCTTATCACTGACTCAAACCGGTCCATTGCCACATTGGCAATTACAACACTTCTGAAGACAGGAGCAGAATCTTCGGTGGACAGATTAATGAAGCAGATTGCTAGCTTCGTTTCTGAAATTAGTGATGAATTCAAAATAGTTGTGGTTCAGGTAAAGGTCAACTTTATGTAGTTTTTGTTAACTCTTCTAGAACACAAAATAATATAAGCTCATTGACAATAGATGTAATTTAAGTTAAAAGAGATGTGTTAAGATAAAGATATCTAAAGTAAATGAGGTGAGAAAATAGGCCATTTTTATGATCACAAGATTATATAAAGTCGGTTGATGGAATGAGGTAACCAAATGTTTTATTTGCTGCTGTGAACTTAATCATTCAGGACATGAAGTCAGCGTGGAGATGTCATCGTCTTTATCATAAGTCAGAACGTTCTGTTTTGTTACTGTGATATATTAAAAACTGTTTTAATCTGTTATTTCACTGTCTATTATAGTATAAACAATACAGTTTATTTATTTTCATATGCAGTTCTTTAAATCTGTTCCGTTTGTCTGTGATCACAGGCAATCCGAGCACTTTGTTTGAAATTTCCACGTAAGCACAGTGTCCTGATGAACTTTCTCTCGGCCATGTTGAGGGATGAAGGAGGGCTAGAATACAAGGCCTCGATTGCTGATACCATCATTACCATAATTGAAGAAAATCCAGAAGCAAAAGAGACCGGTAATTAATATTTTATGTTATTTAGTGAACATAGTTTCATCTGAAACATAAATACACACTTCCTGTAATAAGATTAAGTATTAGAAGTGTGCATTTTAAAGATTTGTTCAGGTTTTATTCAGTAAGACTGGCATGTTCAGAATTGAATACGATGAAATATGCTACTGGACTCCGGTTTTATGTTGATTCACAAAGATATTACAGAAAGTAGTAGTTTGCCACTGCTGATTTTAATTTCCAGAATTATACTTTGATATTGGCTGCAGTTTTGATGGTAGATTAAAATGGGAAGGAGTTTCTGTTTGCCCAAAGTAATTATATTTGTGGCCGTGGGTCTTCTGCGTTGTGACGCAGTCTAGTCCTCCAGGTGGTTATCAGCGTTTTGGACGAATGTTGGTAACTAACAGCCTACAAGACTACGTACATGGCTTCACAACTCATGTTTAAAATATGGCACTGTTTTGAGTAGCAGAACTGCTCTGTTTCCTGTCATGTAAATTTATTTCCTTAGGGGACCCATTTTCCTGAAAAATGTATTTATTATGTTTACAGAATGCATGTTAAATGAAAATTACTTATTCATGCCGAAGCTGGTAGGGCCTCGGTTATTGCGTAAGGTAATAAACTGATTAGCTTCCAGTTTTTCATTTTACCACTGTGTCCAGAAAGGCTCTGGGGCTCATCCATTCTCCTTTTGAAAGCATAGCAGTTGCTTGACGTTATCCAGGTTGCATCCTGAGCCAGGCTGAAGAATGTGATGACCCGTACCTGTTTTGTGTGTGTCTTCATGGTGGTGTGTTTGTCACATGGATAACTTGCCTTACACTCATTAAATATTTGTATCGTGGAGATCTTATGGTGCTTTCAGCTCTACAAAGCTTATAAGCAAACTGTTAGAACATGATAGAACATATTCATCCACTGACAGAACTTTATTTATAAAATATGTCTGTACTTCAGTATATTTTGTGTGTTCATTTATCCATGAAAATAAAATGAAGCCTTGTCTGAAAACATGTTTAATTTGGATCAAGTTTGTCATTATGAACTGGCTGCAGATACCAGGTACAGAACCTTTAGGAAGTAAAAATTTGCAGTTTGTCTAACACATACATGAAAAGGTTGAAGTAATATTGGCTATAAATTCCATTCTCATATGTTACGTTCTGCATGCTGAGAATTTGGCAGTGACATGTGCCTATTTGTAAGACTTGAGGTTCTCACAGCGGTGAGTATGAAGATTTCTGTCTTCTATTTGTTCCCTTAGGTTTGGCACACCTTTGTGAGTTTATTGAGGACTGTGAACATACGAGCCTTGCTGTCCGCATTCTACATTTGCTTGGAAAGGAAGGCCCCCGCACTAAGCAGCCGTCCAGGTAATGTTTTCTGTTGTATAGACATGCTGTGTGAAAGTTGAATAGATTAAAGGTACTTTTCTTTTAATTTTTATAATATTTTCCATATTTCTAAGGAAATACAAGCTAATGTCAGCTCATGCCTTACTCCGTAATAACTTTTACACAAATTTACTGTTTCTCTTGAAGCTTTGTTTTTCACATTTATATTAGACTATCTTATACTGGATGAAACAAAAGTAATGCACATTCTGTCGATAGTTTGATACCTTGTTAAAAAAAAGTCAAAAATTATATATAACACACGTCCTGAGGCATTTAGTTTTCAAGATACATTGTAGGAAAGTCGTACTTTCCTATTTTCTACAATTGGTAATATTAACACGAAGGATGAGCAAACTTGTGAGATGGGATCAACACTGGCACCACATACAATAAGGCCATACAGTGATGAATGGTTTTAGATTTTTTGGAAATACTTGATTTTTTGTGTGTGCGTGTGTGTCCTGATATGGAATACACCTTTCCAATCTTGTTATAATTATGATGTTTGAGTTGATACCATGTACTTATCTAGGTCTTTGAAGCTGAAGCTCATCCAAATAATATTTAAGAATTCAAAGAATTAGTTAATGCGCTTTAAGCAAATACTTGATGTTTACAGCGAGAATCATGTGAAGTACACATATACAAAATGCATAGTTACTGATTGTAAAGCAGCTGACACATAATTACCACTGAGCTTTGAAGGGTTAAAGCATCATGTTTATTGTTATTGAACTACCCAAAATAGTAATTCACATGAGGAGTGATTATTTTAAATTTTTCTTATGATCTTAGCGCATAACCTCCACGTTGTTCACAGATATATTCGATTCATCTATAACCGTGTTATCCTGGAGAATGCGCCGGTCAGAGCCGCTGCAGTGGCTGCTATGTCTCAGTTTGGAGCAACCTGTCCTGATCTTCTGCCCAATATACAGGTTGTATTCAGGCACATGTTTTGTGAAACTTTGCACTCGTAATCTGCACATCACATGCCAGATTCAGTAATTAAAATCACAATCATTAATTGTTAATTAATGATTGTTATGTTCAGAGCTTTTGTTGCTGACACAAATACTATTTTTAATCATCAGTCTGAAAATTGAATCAAAGGCTTTGTTTGTATCATAGGAGGTCAATTTCATTCCACTCGCTCCAATGTGCCAGTTCATTTCAGAAGTCGAGGCAGTTTGGAATGCGTGAACTCTGCAGTGAATTGAGAGGAAACGATTAGAAATTAGACAGATGTGCAGTCGGGCAAAAAATAATGTTTGTGTGTCAAGGCAAATACAGTCTGGTTATACACAACTAATAAAACAGACCTGAAGGTTGGCGTGTTGTATGTCCCTTCATCTTTCCCGTCCCATCTAAAAAGGAAGTTATATTATTTAATGCCAATTTTAATGGATTTTCAGCAACAGAAAATCCATTAAAATTGGCATTGCTGTTTGCCACGCAGGTTCTGTTAGCTCGTTGTCAGATGGATACTGATGATGAGGTCAGAGACAGGGCCACCTACTACTACAGCATTCTTGAGAAACAGGATAAATCATTGGCCAACCATTACATCGTGGAAGGATTGCAGGTCAGTTACCACTTTAAATAAAACCATCGAAACCAAAACTGCGAGTGCACGTGCGAAAACGTAATAGTGGAACAAGGTATTTTTGTGTAATTTTCTTTTTTGCCATTAAGCTTCTCATATTAGAAGGCCATCACATTGTCATACGAGTTCTCTCGAAGTTCTTTGTTTTATTTATTCATGGTTTGTTTAGCAATGTTGGTAATGGCTCATATATGGTATTGAGTGAAAGGATGATAAAAGAGTGATGTTCTGGAAAGGATATGGAAGGAAGTAGTCTTGACGTAATTTAAGGTACTTTCCTTACATTTGCGTAGAGGGACCGAGGAAACTTGCGAAAACCTTCAGGATGAGATTTGAACCTTGTACGTGATGAATAGGAAGTAGGAGTGCTAACCACATGGCCACAGTGTTCATTGGGGTTAATCATGCAGTTACTGAAGGAATAAATTCAAAATAATGTTGAGTTTATTATAATTTTAAGCAACGTTGATCCAACAACTGATCTCCTAGGTACTTAGATAATATGTGTATGAAAAAACATACATTTTGAGCATATTAAAGAATTTGATAACTCTACCTCACATTTCTGAGAGATGAATAATGAAGCAATTTAAAGATCTTATGCTTGTGGTTTATAGTTTCTTTTAAGTAGTGTGATGTAGAGAATCACATTCCTAAATTTAAGGCGGTCTGTTGATATGCGTGTTTTACTAGGATTTTTGGGAGATTAAATGCGAGAGCTGAGGATCATTTGTCTCTTTCCCACTGTTCAGAAATTGCTCACCTGTTGAATTTGCTGATTTGCTTGAAACTATTCCACATAAAATTGTTTTTAACTGTCAGGTGTGGTTTTAATTAATTACATTTTGAAGAATATTCATCAAAAGAAATTTTCTTATCATTTCTTTAAAAACATCATTCAAACAATTTCACAAAAGCACAATATTAAAAATGACGAAAGATTTGCCAAGGTTCTTGGGTTCCTCTACATATTTTTATTGCAGTTGTAACATTGTATTTTATGGAAGAACTTTTCAGATAATATTTATTTAAATTGTGCTGAAATTGTTATCTGAATTTTATTCATAAAGTTTATGACTGTTTTATTTAATTAAATTTTCCAGGTTTCGATACCCAGTCTTGAAAGAGCTCTTCACCAATATACCATTAGTCCATCAGATGTTCCATTTGACATGAAATCAGTACCTTTAGCAGCTGTTCCATCTGCTGAGGAAATTGTTAATCCGTCTGGTAAAGGTGTACAAGCTGATGGCATGCTCATCTCTACTGCTTTGTCAGGTAATTTGTTTGTAAATATAAGCAATTAGATCATGTACCAGTGTCTTTGGAGCACAGACTGTAGGAAGCAAGATTTCTGCTATTCTACCTGTTCAGTACCTAGACTTTAAGATATATGACATCTTTGTGTTGCATAGGTTCAAAGGTCTCGGCTGTAGCTGTCACTGTTAGTCGCGAAGAGTCATATGCGGAGAAACTACGCAACGTGCCGGAATTGGTAGCGCTTGGCCCACTGTTCCGCAGCTCAGATCCCGTTGAACTTACAGAATCAGAAACAGAATATGTGGTGCGCTGTATCAAGCATTCCTTTCCACAACACCTTGTTCTGCAGGTACAGTAGAGTCTGAATTGTGATGGTTTTTAAATTCTATCTTTGGGAAATAAGAGAATTTTTAGTTTTTAATTTTCATAATTTCTTGTTTTATAGAATTGAAATCTTATGGAAACATGAAGATGTCTGTTTTCTGGATTATTGTGCTGTGTAGTCTGGTAGAAGTTTACTAACATTTCAGAGGTCCTTGCAGCCTCCATCGTCGCTCTGATGATGGAGGCAGCAAGGACCTCTGAAATGTTGGTAAACTTCTACCAGACTACATGGCGGAACAACCCAGAAGACAGCCATCTTCAGACTCACTGCTGTGAGAACCTCAAATCCTACAAGAAAAAACAGTTTTGAAAAATAAAACTGGTGTTAGACAGTCACTTCATTCTTGTAAGCCATCCACTTTGATAGAAGTGTCGTTCCTACAAGAGGAAGGTGAAACTTGAGAAGAAACTGTTTCTGGTGGATGTGGAGAGTCAGTTGAAGAGTTTTGCGTCCAGTGCGGCAGTGCATGTTTAGAGTGGTGACATGAAGCATGTTCAGGGTATGCGATAGCAGGAGCATTTTTGTGTGATAGTTGTTACTGTGCACTCTTGGTCTCCCTGACGCACGCTGTTGGACACCAAAGTGGCCAAGAGTACACATTTCAGTACTTCTGTTAGCATTGTCTTTTATCTTCTTTATGTGAATTTATTAGTAAAACTGCTGATCATAGCCTGAAACGTCTTAGGTGTGCGCTCTTATATGCCTTCCCCATACAGATCATCTGTACTGCAGCCACTCTAGCGATAGACTTTCAATAAATGTGCAAAGTAATGAACTGGAGGAACAAATGAACAATCTGTCCATTACCTTTTATGTTTTACTATTTTCAGTTCGATTGCTTGAACACATTAAATGATCAGCTGCTGGAGAATGTGCGAGTCCAGGTGGAACCACCTGATGGTTATCAGCTGGTGCGAGAAGTTCCCTGCCCTTGTCTTCCATATTCAGAGACAGGGACAGCGTATGTGGCATTGAAATTTCCTGAAGAATTGGGAGCCACAATTGGTGAGTAATGTTTTAATTGAGATATGCTAACAATTTGAAATGTCTGTGGACTGTTAATCTATTTAAATTAATGTGTGCTCCTGTGACTGATTTTTTGTGAAGTATGTTCCATTACATGTTTCTTGTAAACTGAGTATAAGATGACTTTTGGATAAGGAAAAACCTGAAGATGATGCTTCGCATTGAAACATGTAGTAAATGAAGGCGCAGTATTGTAACAACGTTGTAACGATGAATAGCGCAAATTTTAAATTTTAACATCTGTAAATAAAGTTTGTGTATAGACCTGAATTATATTATATATTTTGATTATAAAACACAAACATGACGCATTTAAACCTTAAACTTAATCAGTTTTGTTACTTATCCATACACAGTTTTTGGTGCAGTTCTGTTGGCAATCCTTAACTTATTTTCTCATGTCCTTCATAGTGGTCCAATTTAAGTTCTTCTCTCTTCTTCTATGGCTCTCCGGTCCGTATTCGGTCCATGGCCTCCTCAATTATCCTCTTCCATCAGTCCTCTGTTAGGTCCGTCTGTCCGAGGCTTTGATCAGGGTTTCGAAACATCTTCCTTTTTACGGTGCAAGCTTGTTTGCCTTGCGACCTGGAGGATCAGGGTACCTGTCTTAGTCTGACCTCTCCCCCTTGACCAATCTGGCTAGGGAGGCCCTACCAGTAGCTATGCTACTGCCAGCATAGCTCTTGTGGTCACTGAGGTACTCAGGCCCCACCACCACGACAAGGTGCAGGTACCACCATTTTAAGTTCTACCAAAACTTAATCTCAGTGATTTCTCAAGTTCTTACAGTGCCCATTGCTGGTGGCTGCCATCATGCACATGTATGGTTGCACAAATTTGAACTGCACATTTCATCATTGGGAAATTTTTCACACTCTTGGCCTGCATATAGGCAGCTAAAATTTTGAGTGCAGTCATTACTACTTAAAACGAGCATAATTTCAGGCAAGGTCTCAATCAGGGAATGGAAAATCTTTTAAATTAATGCTACGAGAAGCTGAAACAGATTAACTCCTTCCTTAAGATGCTAGATTTTTCTAACAAATTTTATTTTTCCAAGATTGTTTGTGTAACATGTCTTTCCTAACAGGTACATTTAATGCAACTCTGAAGTTTCTGGTGAAGGATTGCGATCCAGCCACGGGCTTACCGGACTCTGATGAAGGCTATGATGACGAGTACATGGTGAGTGATGCACTAGATGGTGGCACTCTTAAAATGGTTAATGGTTAAATGTGCCCTGAATTAGCAAAGTTGATAATACATAAATTACTGTGAACCACAAGGATAAATAAGAACTTGTTGTAAGGAAACTTGAACAAATTTTCGAGGATAAATTGAAAATGTAATGAAAGTAGTTAAAGACGTAGAATAATGGGACTAATGTTTTGATTCACATTAAATAAAAGCTTGTAATGCATGTGGCTGAATGCCTTCAAAACTTTCGGGTGTTTTCTTACATCATTTACTGAGTTATTTATAAACATCAAATTTTCATACAAATGTATGAACTTCCCTGAATCTTCTGAATAAGAAATAAATTTGCTTAATTACGGTGGAATTCTGCCTTTGTAAATCTTGATCTTCCTGCATACAGTAATTGTGCACTAAATACACAAATTTAAATTGGATACTGTCTTCTGAAGCAAATGGATAGAGTACAATGCCAGTTAAGCAGACCACTCACCTCCATCTACCCTCAAGGTTAAGAATGCATGGACTTCTGTCTCTACTCTGTCGTGCCTTCATTTAAAAGTAAATAACTGTTGCCGACATATTTTTCATGTTGGTATGTTCAGCTTGAGGATGTTGAGGTGACACTTGGTGACCAGATACAGAAAGTAACAAAGACAAACTTTGGTGCTGCTTGGGAAGAAGCTGGCGATAGTTATTGTGAACTCGAAGACACATACAGTCTGTCCAGTGTGAGCACATTGGAAGAAGCCGTGAAGGACATCGTCAATTTCCTGGGTATGCAGCCAGCTGAGCGGAGTGACAGAGTCCCCGAAGGAAAGTCCTCACATACAGTCTTCCTAGCAGGTTGGTCACATAAGTTTGGAATGCAAAAACAGTTTAACTTTATTGCATGGGAATAAGAGATTTTGGCCCCCATAGTACAAGACTGATGGCTAGGTTTAATGGTTCGCTGATATGCAACTGCAGTGCACAGGCAGCTGGATTATGAGTGCAAAATATGGCCAGTAAAGTTTAAGGGACATAAAGATTAAAATCGTTAGGGCTCACATCCTGTTCAGGACAGTGCTTGGATATGGCATTTTTAATTGCATGTCACCACAATCTTATGTGTTCGTAAGTGTGGGATATACGATATTAGTGCATTTGTGTTCCTTTATTGGTGACAATGGAGGGCACTTGAATTCCGTAACAGCTGGGAATTTGTTAGTGTGTTCCATTACTCGCTTCAAATTTAAAATCTTGTATTAATTTAAAAATAGTATTAAAATATATTAAAATTGTCCATCAATCACAATAAAGTAATATAAGATAATTAAATGGTTAAAATATTATCGAGTACGGAACAAAGGATAATATTTTAACCATTTAATTATCTTATATTACTTTATTGTGATTGATGGACAATTTTAATATATTTTAATACTATTTTTAAAATAAAATCGCAATATGACACACCTACAATATCTTGTATTAATTGTAATGACAGTTCTTTTGGATTTCATAGCCTAAAATAATAGGTTTTATAATCTCACTATCACTTTCAAAACAGGCATAACAAAATGAGCAGAAACCTACTTTACAACTTTCAAGCCATGCAAAAATGTAATGTCATTCTGCATAAATTATGATGACTAGACAAACACAACTAAGCTTTAGTAGCTGCAAAGTGTTGCTGTGACTGCCAAATGTGATGCAGTATACATACTCTGTTCCGCCGGTTAATGTGAAGGTGCATTCACTGTCCTACTAAAAGACTGAACTTTGATTTGTAGGAAAAGAAAATTTTATAGCTCATTTCAGTTACATAATAATTCATTCGTGCACAATTCTACTAACTGAGATTTCAAAGGATTACAAGTTCGTAAGACTTGAGGTTCTCACAGCGGTCAGTATGAAGATATCCGTCTTCTGGGTTGTTGCGCTGTGGAGTCTGGTCGATGTTAACCAACGTTTCAGAGGTCATACTGCCTCCGTCATCAGGGCGATGATGACGGAGGCAGTATGACCTCTGAAACGTTGGTTAACATCGACCAGACTCCACAGCGCAACAACCCAGAAGACGGAAATCTTCGATTACAAGTTCCTTGGTCGGTTGTTTACAGTTAGGACAGTTATGTATCTTCCTTGTTTACCAGACTTTATTCCAAAGGACTTCATGTCTTGGGTATTTATCAAAGAAAAAATGTTACTGTCATCCTCAACCAAAAAATGTGAATTAATAAAAAAATAAGTTCACTGAACCCATCACGAGTAAGTTCGATCATTATTCTTTTAGTGCATTCAAAACATTTACAGTTACTTTAAAAAATTATATCGAGGAACAAAACAGTACATTATTTTCAAGACGTGCAGTTGGAATTTATCTTAAAATGACTAAAATACTTACACTTGTGTCTGTTAAAAATCCTACATAGCTATGCAAGCTGCTTGCAGGTTGTCATAAATCCCAAAGTCTCCATATGTTGTGCTGCTTATCGCTAGTTGAATCATGGTCATCCTCTTTAAAAATGATAAGCCATAAAACCTTATTGTATTTCTGTTTATGCATAAGTGTTCCATGTTGTGTTGTTGTCCTCCAATGACTGAACTAATCTCAATTTAGTAGTTAGAGGAAATAAACAGTTAGAAGTTGTGGTATAGGAAAAAATATGAATACTTAGATAAATATTGGAAAATAGATGGCAGCCAAAGGAAAAAAGATCATCTCCACAGAGACAAATAGCTGTGAAGATAAATGAAATCAGTGGCTTTATGTAGTACGAAGAAAACAAGTTCCTGAGAACAACCAAATTCTTGAGAAAGGAGACGTTGCTTAACTGCTGTCCAAAAATGTAAAGTTGATAATAAATCTTGACCCTAAGAAGACAGGTGGAAACTAGATGGATGAACATTATAGCTTCAGAGAATAATAGGTCTTCTGGGTTGTAGGTAGACGTTTAGTGGCGTTTAAGAGGTGCTTACTGCCTCCATCAACGTGATGAGCGATGTCTCGTCACCCTGATGTATTTCCACTGTTTAGTATGTAGTATCTGCAGGTTTAATGCATCTGGGGTTTCCTATGTACTCATTCTATTAGTATCAAGTTCAGAAGTCATATTGAGGTCAGGTACAACACGTGCTTCTTTTCTCCACTGCACTCAATAGACGACTTGCTTGAAGTAGCAGGTCGAGGTATCAGCATTACATTCTTTATTTGAATTAATGGTAAGAACACTCATGAAATTTTATTTAATCAGAAAATATAAAAAGAGTCTTTAATGCAGATGGAATAATTTTTCAGGGGTGTACCGCGGAGGGTACGACATACTGGTACGAGCAAAACTTGCACTGGCAGAAGGAGTGACAATGCAGCTCACTGTAAGATCTACTAATCCTGATGTTGCGGAGCTTGTGACATCTGCTGTGGGATAATGCTGCACTTTGGGTGTCCTTATAATGTTGCGTAAGTCACTAACAAGTGTATTCCTTCAAGGGCTAAAAATTCCACAATTCCCTTTTAGTGAAGTAGTCCAATATATAAATTGATGCTTTGTCAGAAGTTTATAGATACTGTGTTGTAATTATGGTCGACTTGTCGCTCTACTTGTATTCCTTGTGTTTGCAACTCTGATTACACATTTTTGCACACCTAATTTTTTTATTTGTTTAAATAATATCTACTATTAATCTTTAAGAAATCAAGATTCTCCTAAGGCATCGTGGTATAGGTAATGCCAAAGGCTGCAGTGTGAATGATCCATAATTGAGATATTACATAGCTGAAGAAACACAGAATAAAATAATTTGATGTGGCACTTTGGTAAACAAGGGCCATATATCTCATCAGTGTCGAATCTTTCATACCATAAGCCTGTTTCCTTCAGAAAACCAAGTGTCATCATTAATTCAGTATTTAACGTTCATGAACAATTTCTTGTGAAAAATATATGATTTTGTGAATCACCTGAAGACAGCAAAGGTGTTTGCTTTATAATTTCATGTAGACAGCAATAAACTACATGCATGATGCTGCTGTGTAATTTGATTTTCCACCAAAGACTTTAAAGAAAATTGTTTGGTCTTGAATAACTGAAACTTTGTCAGGTGAAACCATGCAAATTTTTGTGACTTCACCTTTCAGATACAGACGTTTTAGCGAAAGCATTCTTTCCCGTAACGAAGCAGATGTCATGACACATCCAAACTTGAACCCATGCTGAACATCCCAAACGTTTTAGATGTTTTTAGATAATTAGTGGCATAAAGGCTGATAAAGGTTAGGAAGAGGAAGGTTCAGGTTGATACGTAATTCACGGATATTGGAAATCTTCAGTTCTGAACATTATGCACATGTCTCTGGTTTCTCTTAACTGATGGTCACTGGATAAATTTATGTCCTTTCAGTTCATCCCCCCCCCCCCATTGTCACAGGGGTTAAGGTAATTAATTATTGTCTTTTGAGGAACCTTTGCCTCACTGAAGTAAAGCAAGCAAGAGTGGGCCGCAATTGCATGATATGATGAAGAGGTAGGAGGACGTGATATGTTCCCTCTGAAACATTGGTAGCTATCTACGATACTACACGGTCACAATGTGGGACACAGTTGACATCTTCATGTCTGTGAGAACATCACATCTCACTGCAACTTGAACGTGAGATTTATGTGGTGACATTGTAACACATACAAATTTTGAGAAGAGCAAAATGGTCATAAATTTGCAGTAGGAACATGGAAGTACTACTGTGCTATGCTCCAAATGGCTGTCGCTTCTTAAATTGACAGCAATACAAGTACAGTTTCCAGATAATAGTTGAAATTGGCATAGAAACTGTATAGTTGGTGCACATGCACGTTGATTCTGGAAGGAAGTTTCAGCAGATCTTTCAGATGGTACTCAGGTCTGTTGAGCATGTCCTCTAAGTCAATCCCAGATATGCTCATTCCAGTGTTATTTTTACTCACCCCAAGGATGAATGCATTTTTCTTATTCATACAACTTCTTCTGCATGTTATTAACGTTTAATAGAAATTCTGCCCTTGGGGATGATTTACTCCAGAACAACCTGAACATGACAGGTGAACAGTACCAGCTGAACTATGGCCTAATCCTTAAATAAATCTTAATATCGTTCACAAAGAGAAGTTTATTTAGCAGACTGTATACATGCAAGTGCATTATCTGCTGGAAACATATTTTCAAGTCTCTTTGAAATGTATATTGAAATCATAATCATCCTTCTTATCCAGAGTGAAATTTTCCAAGACATTTGCAAGTTTGCTTGCTTCACGTTCTGTAAACAAAGAAACAAACCAGCTTTAGCATACAATTTGCAACACAGTACTTTTCAGCGATCAGAATCTTATTGAAAACGTATAGTTGACATTTATTATGGCCAGAACAGGCACACAATCTTTCTAGTTATAACACTGTGTCTTGCAGTGATGCACGTGAAGCATGTCAGTTCAGTCGGTAAGCAATGGATGACCAGGGTTCTTGGCTGGAGTGCAAATTTTTCTCCTCACCACAACGTCAAAACCAGTTCTAAGACCCGCACAGCCTCCTACCCAGCTCCTCCACCCACAGGTAATGCAGCTGATTGTGATCACTCCCCACTCTCTTGTGCTGAGATTAAGAATACATGGCAGAACATGACTACAGTGTCCTTATTCTCTTATTCAGCTGATTTTGGTACATCACAAATTCCCCCAAAATTGCCTTCTTCTGATAACTTTACTTATGCTGGCATCACTGGTACCCTCAAAAATGCAGAGAAAATAGCTTATGACTTGTATCTGCAGTGTCTGGTGGATAAGGATTGCACAATGTACAAGGTAGATTCCAGTTTTTTCCAGACTTAAGTGTGGCTTCTATGCTGGAAAATACAGCATGCAGGTGTAATAATTCAGTGGCATGTACAGTCTTCATTTTCTGGCAGAGTTACTAAATCAAGAGTTGGTGGAAATGAAAATGCGCTTAGAATCTTGGATATTTAATCTACTGTAAGGGATGAAAAAGCAGGGAAAGATGATATTAAAATGCGTGTTAAGAGACATACGTTATGAAGAAGTCATATGCTGTTTTTAAAAGGGGTTCAGTGGTAAACTCTGATATGGACCATGATGAATCTTTCAGTTTTTAACGCAGTCTGCACACCATGTGAAGGTTTTTATAGAAAACATGTTTTAACATCATGCCTCTTATCATAATTGAAATATGCTGTACTACAAGTCACTCACCTCTCCTAGACTTTTCTTTTTTCTGTTTCTTTTGTTCAATCTTTTTAACTTTATTCAATTTCTGATTGCCCTCAAGCGCCATTAGGGCCTCAGTTTTCTTGTCCTTTTCATTTCCCTTGTTCTTTTTTCGATTTCGTTTCCTTTTCCTGCTCTTAGATGCTGAAGCCGACATTTCCACATTGTCCTTCAACTAAAAAGAAAAATCATTAAAATAAGTTTGCAGTGAAATCGCATGTCTGAAAGACTTCTAACAGGAGCTTTACAGTTACACCTTCCTTCCTCTCTGTTGCCATCGAAGGAGGGGAAGCGTTTAAGATTGATTTGATCGATCGATCCAATGTGTTGCATTTCACACCAAACAACTCAATTGGTAGACAATTGCTGCTTCATCCCCATCACATATATGTGGCTGATCACTGTACAACTTTGTCAATACTCGGATAAATTTCCCTTTGCATTGTTCAGTTGTGTAAACAAAGAAGTCACATTCTACAACAGAAAAGAAAAGTCAAATGGATATGTATTTTTTCCCCAAAACAAATTCCTCCTTTATTTTATACGTACAATTCCACCAGTGGTATCTCCTGTATCGTCCTCCATTTTCTCTCCCGATTCATCGCTGGCCTCCACAGGACCGGTGGACTGTATGACCATTCCTTTAGCCACCAAATCTTGTGTGAGACCTGCATTAAGGGTATCGGTCTCCATTACTTCATATGAGGAGATGTCAAACTCTTCTGCCATCTGCTGCACAATTTCTGAACTTACATGAGGATCGTGTTCATCCTCTGGTGGGATGGTGTAGTATCTGATCTTTCCACTGTTTATGACATTAAAACACAGTTTTCGTCAGACGTCTCCAATGAACACACCGAATCTGTTAAATTCTTTTTTACACAAATTAATAGTCTGTATATTGTATATGAATGTGTATGTATGCAAATTCCTCATGTAACTGATAATTATTAATGAAAATTGTGATACCAGTGTAGAGTGTGACACAATTTCCTGATTAATTAAAATCAAGTAAATTTTATTGAAATGTTTTGATAAATACGAACATAACAATAAGTTATATTAAGTAAGGAAATGGCTTACATCCATCACTAATCAAGTCACACCCAACTTACCTTAGGCACTAAACCAACTTGAATTAAAAGATACCGTAGAGTAAGATTCTTCATTATGAGATAGATCCCCTTCTATATATGTAGAGAGACTGGAGAACAAATTTAATATTCCTAATTTAAGGTTTAATTTAAATTATTCTAAGCCAATCATCTCTTTATCTGGTACCAAGACATCTCTCTCTCTCTCTCTCTCTCTCTCTCACATGCTCGTGCGCACACACACCAAGCCTTACAATGTACAGAAGATGTTTTTAGTGCAATATAATCACGATTTTCTTCTTCCTGATCTTTCAATATGACGTTAAATTGATGATGTCATTACTTTTAGGACTTCAGTTACTTTAAAAACTATGTGCTTCCATGCAAGTAGCCAAAGAAAAATAATTATCTCAACAGTTCTTTTATTAAAACAAACCTAATATGAGCTATTTTGAAATGATTTACCAGAAAGGGTAGTCTCTGCACTTACCGGTTCCAATCTTCTATAAGGGACCTTGCAGCCGCAATTGCATTTGGTACTCCGCCCTTCTTGAACTGACCCTTCCGGTGGGCCAACAGAGAAAAGAATTCCTGAGGTGTACTGAAGTCTGATATATTGTACATATCCATCATCTGTAAGAAGCAAGCACTGACACTTAAACCATGAATCATGTTTTTATATGCACATATTTCAAAATCACTGGTTTGTGGATAAAAGTCCACGAAATGACTTTCAGTCAGAATTCCTTGCGACCTGTACCTTTCTTATAAGAAATTCTTCTCGAGCTACCAGCCATGTCAGGTGGATGAAAGGTGAAAAATAAACATTTCAAGAACTGCCCTCATCCTCAGGGTACTTCACATATCTATCAAATTCCTTTCACATGTCAAAAGTGTGACATTTGTATTATGAATTTCATTCTGACTCAATGCAAGTAAGTGAATTCATAATACTCCAAATCTGTAATCTTCACTGCAAATATTTGGCCTACCTGCATGCATTTGGTTAAGTAGACAATTGTATGGTACGTCCCATGCTGCAAGTCTGTCTAACAGTGGGAGAACACGGACTGAACAGGCCTGAGAAGGATGTAATGAGAATACTCAGATCCAAGAGATGGACGGGCATCACCTTTTAGGACTGTCTTCTGTGATGTGCGATACATAGAAATTTACTGGTATTTCAGATCAAGGTGATGATAGAGGCAGTAAGTGCCTCTGAACCATTGGTAAACTACAAGACTACACAGTTCAATGTCCCAGAAGACATCTTCACACACACTGCCATAAGAACCTGAAATCTCACATAGTTTGTACTCTTCACCTAACGCTGCCAGGTAATCAAATGAAGAAGGTTAGACAGACATGTAGCACACCTTGAAACTGAGAGGTGCAAATAATTTTGTAGACTACTTTCATAGAAGAGAACCACCTGGAAGACTGACACACAGGCAGTTTTAAAATTATATAAGAGAACAGATCGTAGGGCGTGCTCTGTGCATGATCCAGCAGCAGACCGCGTGATGAAGATAAATGCTTCTCGAACAGGCGAGAAACTGTTGCATAACTGCGGGGAACAACCCATTAAGTGAACTAAGTTACATGTAAGCCTTGGGAAAGCACGGATGCGAACTACTCATATCATTACCTGCTGCTTGTTTGCTCTTTGCAGTATAGCTGT